GTGGAGGCAGGTGATTTTGTGGGGGGCTTTGCCGATGTGGGGGGAAGGTTGGTTGTTGGTGATGGGTGAGCGAATAATGGTCGAGGAGGGTCGGGTGGAGGCCGTGTGTTGTTAGATTAGGTAGGGACTGGATGAATAAAAAGGGGGTGCTATGGGAGGGGTTGGGTTTGGTAAGAACGGGATCCGACTTGAATGCTTTATTACTGTTTGCCTGTTTCTTCTTGTGTTGACTCAAAATCCACCCTCTGAGCCCGAGAGATTCTCTTTCCTATCGAATGAAGGGAGTATTGTATCGCGACCAATACATCACTATTCTGCAACCCTGCCGTGTCGAATCGAAGCAGAAGCTCACGTGTGCAGCTTGTTTGTCTTCGGCGTTCCCTGGAAGCTCACTTGACCTTTGTTGGAGACGCTCTCTCTTCTGTCGAACTTTTGTCTCTATCGCATCCTTCACGCTTGATCCAGTTGGGTTGAGGTTTCGTTTCTGCTTGTTCTTACCTTAAAATAGGAGGGGAACCAAACCGACTTTTCGGAAAGGCGATGATGAAGAGGTTTTGTCCTTCGTTCGTCTCTTCTAGTATCCCGCTTTGCTCGTCGGTTTCCTCTTGGTGGTCTCCTTTCTCCTTTGATATATTTCCTTTCCTGTCTCTCCCTCTCCTCCTCTCTCCTCGGTACGTCTTGTCCTTTTCCTTTCTTATCTCCACTATTCCCTCCTCTAGTGCTTTCTCTGATTCCGCTCTTCTCCCCCTTGATGAGGTACTTCTCCCTTTCCTCAATTCTCTTTCCTTTCTCGTTGCTTCTCTCCTTTCCTCCTTTTTTGCTCATTGCTCCCCATCACTTCTCTCTTCCTCTCCCTGTCTTTACCCGTCTTGCTTGTCTCTTGCTGTGAATAGCCACGCCCGCAGGCGTGGCAAGGAGCAGCGTGGTCTCGCCTTCGGTTTCCTGCCCTTCGTTTTCCAGTTCGAAAAAGCAGGTGGCGCGCGCATGGAAAACGCGCGCGAAGCAAAGTTTCACGCCGGTTGGAGTCAGTTCACGGGGGTGCGGAGCCGGAGGTTAGCGCAGAGAATTAGCGCTTACTGGTCGGCGCTAACGCAGGAAAATCATCTCAGGGTGGCTGGAACTTCTCTCCTCTCTCGCATTCTGGATTTCTGTCATTGCACTATCTCTCATTTTTCCTTGCAGATGCCAATTTAGCAAAACTGTACACAATGCACACAGAAAAGGAGGGGAATGTGGCTTTGTGGTTGGCGAACCGGATATGTCATAGGGGAGTGCGAGGGGAAGTTGTGGAAACGACACTTTCCCTCACTGTTGCTGGGCCGCCATTTCTCACCTATGATTCTGACGTTCTGTGCAATTGATAACCACGTGCATGGGCGTGTTGCAAACTTGGAGTGTGAAAGTTGTGGGAACAACAGTTCTTCAGTGTTGATGTGGCCCCTTTTTCTCGCCTACGAGTGTGTGCAATGGACTAACACATGAATGGAGGTGTGGGGAATTTGGCGAGTTGAAGTCCCAAGTCACACGTCACCACTGTTTGGCGTTCTGCTCTTGCTAAGGTGGTGACCATGGACTCTCTGCAATATGGACTAACACATGGATGTAAGTGTGGGGAACTTGGTGAGCTGAAGTCCCAAGTCACATTGCTCCACTGTTTGGCATTCTGCTCTTGTGAAGATGCTAACCATGCATGCTGTGACTGTGGTAAATGTTTGCTTACAAGTTTTGAAAATGTCACTTGATGGTTGGTGGAGAGATCCTTAACGAATGGAAAGGCAACCTCAGTCACAGCAGCTTCAGGCTTTATTCAGCCTGGGCGATCATGGAAGTGCTAAAAGGCGAAATGCTTTGGCGGTCATTGGCGTCCTTCGTGCTAGATGCCTCCAGAATGCCAGTGATTCTGCTGAAATAAGTGGTCTCAGGTAAGTGTGTGATAAAACTCCCGACAGCTTATCTGCCCAGCATTCCCTTTGCAGTTTATCAAGACTGACACCCAACTTGGTGGTGAATAGTATACTACCATACACAAATATTAGACATGTAATTGTTGGCTTGGTGTATGTCATCTTGTAAAGTGGTGTGGAACAGCAACTTGTCTTGACTGTAGTGCTAAAAGCACACTTTCTGAGCCCAAGAATGTGACATAGTAGTTCTAGGCGTACTTGTGGTCCACAGTGCCTCACTCGCACTTCGCTGACATTGATACAGCGAAGGGGCAACACTAGTTACACTACCTGTTTTTTTTTTTTTTTCCCTCCCTTATGGCCCTGGCTCCATATCCATTCCAGCGAGCATCCGTCAGGTTCTTATTCCACCGGCAAGTCAGAATACAACCAGAACACCCTCACGCTTCCTCTGTTTGGCCGAAGGACCCCTGAGCAGCGTTGATTGCTCACACTACCTGTTTTTGTGGAGGGATGTTTTGACTGGTAATTTGTGCAAAGAACCAGAGAAGGTTGCAGTTAATCTACGGAAAGACCTAGCTAGCTGTGCTGTTATTTCTATGGTAGCTACAGTCTTCTCTCTTTTGCGTGTGGTGTGTTTTGTTGTTCATTGAACTCCATTTTTATAGCTCAGGATAGTGGAAGTCGAAAGCTGAAGGACGCGGCCAGTATCTGGACAATACTGGCATGCAGGGTTACCTGACCGAACGTTCGGGGGCCCCCGGGCTGGCCCCCGAACGTTCGGGCGTTCGGGGTCCCGTTCGGGGGCCGAACACCTCCAGGTTCGGCCCCCGCCAAAAATTGTTTCGGGGCCTAAAAGTAAGTTTTTTTTTCTGAATTTTTTTTTGTGAGTTCTCTATGATGTAACCTACACGCCTATAAATTTTGAAGAGTTTTCTATGATGTAACCTACACGCCTATAACATTTGAAGCCATTCTGCTGAGCCAAAAAAACATTAAAAATCGTCAAAGATGGGGGTGTCAAAACGTGCTCGCCCACTCACTATTTTGTTTTTTTTCACTTTTAACTTTTTGTTTTCACTTTATTTCGGGGCCTAAAAAAAATTATTATTTTTTGAAAAAATTTTAACGAGTTATTGATTATGTAAACTACATATCTGTAAATTTTCAGGGCATTTGTCAATGCCAAAAAATAATTAAAAATCGGCAAAGATGGCGGTGTCGAAAAGGTGCTGGCACACACTCATTTTAATTCTCTTTTTATTTTTTCGTATTTTTATCATAGTGTTTATTTTCTGTATTTGATTTTTAATTCAAATTTGGTAAAGAATTTGGATACAGTGTCAGCGCTGCGGCAAATTTTGTAAGGGACGCCGGGCCCGCTTCCCGGCTTTGATATTAATAAAGACTGGCCTTCTTTAAAAAAAAAAAAAAAAAGAATAAAAAAAAAGTTGTTTAGTTTAGTTTTCTCCATAACATTTTTTTTTTTCGGAATTTTTTGAAAACTTTTTTTTTTTTTTTTTTTTTGGGTCCGCGTTCGGCCCGAACGGCCGAACGCCTTCCGAAGGGGTCCCGTACGTTCGGGCGTTCGGCCCGTCCCGAACGCTGGCAACCCTGCTGGCATGTGTATTTTACTGTTTTAGTATTTTCTATGTAATTTACTAATTTTGTTATGCCATGTTTTTTTTTTTTTGAAACGTCGTTGATTTATGCGAGTCAATGGAGTCATCCTTGCGCAGGGGCCATGCTAATCTTCTCTGTATCGTTCCAGTGGATGTTGTACTTCTATTGCATGGATGTGGTCATGCTATCTTGTTGTGTCAACTTGTGTGGCTGATTGGGGGTGGGCTATAATTGGATGGATGTGCTGGCCTCCCCTGTGAACAGGGCAGCACGGTATCACGGTCGAAGTTTGAAGGGGGATCAACTACTTATTGTACTCTGCTGAACCCTCTCCAGAGATTCGTTCCTGGTGCTGATTTTGCTCAAAAAATGTTTGTTTCTGTCTGCTTTTTTTTTTTGTTCTCTCCTTCCGGTGGTCTGTAAGTCACTCCATGAGCACCATCTTCCAGCAGTGGGCAGGAGATGAGGAGCTCCAAACATGCTGGGCAAATGCAGGTGAGGAAATTGGTGGGCCATCTGGGTGCATGTCTGTGTTGCGTCGTGATTTGTGAATAAGGAAGAGCGCACTGTATTCTGAATGCCATCAGCTTTCAGAGCCAGCTTGTCTGTGCGGCTTTCATTTCTGCTCTAGATCGGTTCCGTTTATGGTCTTGCCGAAGTTGCAGTTCTATTTTTGCCATTCACAGCAGTGTTGCATACCCTGATGGTCGGTGGCCCTGGACTGGTCGGCTGCTGACCCACTGAGCGGTCGGGCTGGTCGGCACCTACCGGTCGGGGGTCGCTGGCACCCCGTAATTTGTTTTTGGGGTCCAGAACCCCTAATTGAAACGGTTTTCACCTTTTAGCAGTAGCGGATGCAGTACCCAGGGTTCGATCCCTAGACCTCACCTTACCC